GGTACCTAGGTCATTCATTTATTAAGTAACTATTATACATAAATATAGTATTAAACTTTTTTTTGTTATTTTATTTTAAAAATATTAAATTAATGTATTTTATTAAGTATTACACAAACAAAATTTACCACATAGTTATAATAATAATTATCTATTTATAAATAATATAGGTACCAATATTATTATATATACATATATATTTTTTTTTTTTTAGTTTGTTAACATACTATTTTCTCGGTGTTTTATTGCACTGTTGTAATACACGTATTATTATTTTGTTTATCAAATTAATTTTATTCAATTTTTAATGTTTAATACAACCGCCAGTATTGAATGTGATGTGCCTAATAAGTATTTACTTATTTATTGTATGAGTTAAATAAAACTTACTGTACTTAATTAAATTTTTTTTTCCTATACAATATTTATAAGTAGTTATGTGTCTAAATATCATCCATATAACAGTGCTTCTAAACTTGGAAGTTGGAAACTTATTATTATTTAAAGTTACCAACGGCCAACGACCATTATATGATTGAAACTGAATATTTTAATCCGTGGTAGCAACCTATRTGACCTCAGCTCACCCTGTGATTTACCTAGTACATACCATATCATACCCTTCCCTCCCATCAATGTATAGAACATACCACATCATACTTTTCCCTCCCATCAATATCTATCACTAAAAATATATACACATTATATTCTTAACATGATAACAACTATATAGTGTTATCTAAACCATTATTATAAGAGGTATGTTGGTTAACATTTCACATAAATATGTGATATATGTATATAATATTATTATAGAACGAAAATCTAGAATAACAACAATATAAACATGATAAATCATTAAATATTCTAACTTAAGWGAAAAGTGGATGTGATTCACTTGTAATATTACACTTTAATGACTACTGAAACGTTAACAACCATTGATAATTATAAACAGTTGAAGTTTCTCTTTTAAGTATTGTTAAAATATATATATTACACATTTATATATTGTATACAACTATCCAGTAGTGCGTGTTGAACTAATTTTTGATGAGGAGCAAAAATATATACAAGGTGTCTACCCACCCACCACACTTATCCATCATAACAAAAATTAAAAAATTAACAAAATTAACCAACCAAAACAACTTATTAGTTATTTGTGTTTTCTAATAATGTTAATGTAATCTAATCGATCAACAACAATCGTCTACATTGAGATATTTATATTTTTAACGTAYTAATTTCTACTAAGTACTAAATTATATAACATTAAAAAATTTAAGTTCTCACATTGTTAACAAATCATTACAATATACATAGAACTTTATATACTACGMCTATTGGTTAATTATTAACTATTATTTTAACAATTTAAATGTACCTATCCCAAAATAATTGAAAATATTATATGGATTAATCTTTTAACATGGTAAATGACTAGGTAATATTTTAACAATTYATGGTTTAAAATGTTACCATTACCTAAATACATTAGGAATCAATAATCTTATAATCCGACAATTATCAATAATCAGTCGGTACGTCTCCAATCATATTATGCTTCAGTTCACAAATAAATATCGTTCCATCTTTTATATAACACTATACAGAGTGTCCCACGAGGATT